TGGATGAAATGCTTCAGTCATGTGGGTGAACATTGTGTTGTCTCCATAGTATAAAAAAATAAAGGAGTCAGTGGGCTCCAAAATGCACAATAGACATTGTGAAGGTGAAAGTGGAAGAGATGTCTAGAGGGGCAAGGAAGCGGCCATTGTTAATCTATATCCTATTTTAAAACCCTGCATTGTTTTTATTGTTCTGTTTAGTTTGGTTTTATTCTGTCTTGTTTGGTTTGACTTTATCATATGTGATGGTATGGACTGCTATTTCAAAAATAACAAAATATATTACAGTAGCCATTACTGATTTTTTATTATCTTATTTTAAAGTCCTATATTGATTTACTTGTTTTCTTTTGATAGATTTTATTCTATTTTATTTTGTTTTATATTATGTCTAATGGCATAAGCAACTACTTTGAAGATAACAAGATGCATTATGGTAGCAACTGCTATATTCCTATTGTCTTGTTTTGAAGTCTTGTATTACTTTCATTGTTTTGTTTTGATTGATTTTATTTTGTTCTATTTTGTTTGATTTTAGTATGCCTGATGGTACAGGCAGTTATCTTGAAGATAACAAGAGGCATTATGGTAGCCATTTTGAAGACATGTATCATGTTCATTGGTTTGCTTTGATTGACTATTTCTATTTTATTTTGTTTGATTTTATTGTTTGATGTTATAAACCACTAATTTGAAGATAACAATATGCATTTTGCACTGTTGTATTCCTATTGTCTTGTTTTGAAGTCCTGTATTGCTTTCATTGTTTTGTATTGATTGGTTTTATTCTATTCTGTTTTATTTGATTTTATTCACCTGATGGTATAGGAAGTTATTTTGAAAGATAGCAAGAGGTATCATGGTAGCCACTGTTGGTTTCCTTTTATCTTGTTTTGAAGTCTTGTGTCATGTTCAATGTTTTGTTTTGATTGTCTCTATTCTGTTTCATTTCTTTTGGTTTTATTCTCTTCAAAATAAAAAGAAAAAATAATCATAAAAATACATAAAAATTAAAATCTACACTAGATCCCAGATTCCTCTCCAGTTATAAACTCCTATATTTTTCTTGGCCTTCACAGACAGACAAGCTTTCAAAGAATATGTCCTTTGCACTCTTAGAGCCATCCAATCTTTCTCTTATTCTCATAACTCTACCAAAATAAGTGGTTTATCAAAACTGTTCATGCATACTCAAATAGTTCAAAGAAAACATGGACAAACGCTAAAGAAAATATTTTAAATAAACTATATATGAACAAAATTAAAAGATCACTACCAGGAATTAAAAAGAACCAAGTCAAAGTTCTGGGATTGAAAAATACACCTAAAATTAAAAGTTCAGCATAGAAGTTCAGGGGAACACTTGGAGTAACAGGAAAAAAATATCTGTGAATTTGATAGTAGAAGAGTGGAAAATGTTCAGTCTGAGAATCAGAAAGAAAATGAAAAGTAAATGGAGAAAAATTTGTTATAGTACCACAGCAAATTTAACACACACACATTATATAGTCAAAGAGAGAAGGGAGACAAACAATATCTGAAGAAATAATGGATAAAAATTTCTTAAGTGTGGTAAAAAATATAAATCTATACCCCTGAGAGGCTCAGCTAACCCCAAGTCAGATAAAACTCAATAATATCCACATCAATGTACACTGTTATGAAACTGTAGTTAACAAGAACAAAGAGAAAACTTAAAAACTACATGAAGCTTGTCACATAAGAAATCCTCAATAAAATTAATGATAGTGTTTGTTTGTTTGTTTGTTTTGTTGTAATGGGAATTGAACCCATGGATTCACATGCTAGATAAATGCAACCACCAATTTTTCAACCAAGACCATAATAGAACTTAGAGGGAGTGAAAATAAATACATTATAATTAAACAAAAGTTGAGGGAGTTCTACACCACTAGATCTGTCCTGTAAATGTCAAAGAAAGACCTTCAAGATGAAATGAAACAATATTGGATAACAAACTGAAGTGATACGGAGAAACACACTTTTGTTAAAAGTATATTTAGGTATAAATATAAAAATTGGTATACTACACATTTGGCTTATAGCCCTGCATTTTATTTCCTATTTTATATAAGGAGAAAATGCCTATTTTATATAAGGAGAAATAAGGAGAAAAGTAACTATAGCTTTGCATTATTGGATAATATATACAAGTATAAATTTATAAAAATGTAACATTTATGTGAGGGAAAATATATGTAAAGCAAAGTTTGAATATGCTATAGGAATTAAATTGGCATCAGTTTGCCATAGACTGATATAAATTCGGGATCTTAAATATAGTCTTAATGGAACACCAAAAAGATTTTGAGAACTATGCACAAAAATGAATGAGAAGGGAATCAAAATAGTGTACTACAAAATATCAACTATACACAAAAAGTTAGTAGTAAAAGAATTATGGGGCAAAAATGGCCTAAGACAAACAGAAAACAAATAACAGAACAACAGAAATAAATCTTTCAATACCAATGGTCATGTTAAGTGTAAATGGATTAAACACACTAAACAAAAAATTTGGCTAAACATATATCTTAAAAAATTGACATAAATGACAGCAACCATATATTTTCTATAAACACTCACTTTAAATACAAAGACACAATTATGTTAAAAGTGAATACATAAAAATGGATGCACCAGGAAAAGAAAAAAAAAAAAAAAAAAAACAGTTGTACACTCTGTGACCCTGAAGCAGGAGGAACATGCATTTTGGATCATCCTGGAAAAAATAGCAACTCAATGAAACCTTGCCTCAAAATAAGATTAAACAAAGGAATGCATATGTAGCTCAGCGCAGATAAACACTCCTGAGTTCTATCCCTGATATAGGAGAGAGTAATGGGGATAGAAAGAGAGAATAAATAGATTTTTAAGTCAAAAAATGTTACAGGAGACAATTTATGGTATGCACATATACAAGAATTAACAAGCAGATGTAATAATTAAATATATATGATCTAAAAAATAGAAATCCAAAATACATGAGGTAAAACTGATGACTATGAAGGAGAAATAATTCTACAATAATAGTTGGAAACTGTGCCATGCCAGGACCTGGAACATCGAGAAACCAAGCAACCCCTCATGCCCTGGTGAGTGGCTGTGAACGTGGCAGGTTCTGGCGGCCCAGGATGGGAGCCTCCGGCATTTAGTGGGACCTGTGCCATGCTGGGATCTGGAACATTGAGAAACCAAGCAACCCTGCCCCTTGGCTAGTGGCTGTGAGCCTGGCAAGCTACAGAGCCCCAGGATGGGAGCCACCAGCATTTACTGGAACCCACGCCATGCTGGGACCTGGATCATCAGGAAACCAAGCAATCTCTCCGCCCCCCCCCCTGTTATGTTTTGTTGAACTTCAGTATATATGAAAGTATGGACAGCTATTTTGAAGACAACGAGAGATTCTACAACAGCCATTGGTGACTTCCCTATTGTCTGGTTTTGAAGACCTAAATCACCTTCCTCATTCTGTTTGGATCAGTTTTATACTATGTTGTTTTGTATGAATTCTCTTTATGTGAAGACATAGACAACTATTTGGAAGAAAACAAGAGACATTGTGATAGAGTGGAGATCTCAGGTCGTCTAGCTTTGAAATTTATATCTCTTACATTGCTTTCTTATGTCCCATTTTGGTCTGCTTTGTTGTGTTTAATTTTACCCCTTTAAAATAAAAAGTTTTTAAAAATAATAGTTGGAAACTTCAACACATCATGTGGACTTATTCTAATGAACAGAACACCTAAACAGAGTATCTATAAGAAAATAGAAGATATGAACAGTACTCTAAACTAACTAGACTTAATAAATACATTTAGAACACTCTACCCAACAATACAGTGCATATTAAACATTGTCTAGAACAGTTTGTGAATGATAGGCTATCAAATATTTCTTTATACAAAACTAAAACTGTACAAAATATTTTCTCTGAACAGAACACAGAAATAAATAACAAAATCTGAAAAACATACAAGTGTTTTGAATTGAAACAAGTGCTTCCAAAAATCACAAAGAATGTTATAAAATGCTTAGAGATTAATGAAAATGAACATAACACAGTCAAGCATGGTGACACACGCCTGTAATCCTAACACACTAGGAGGCTAAAGCAGGAGATGGCAAATTCAGGCCCAGCTTGGGATGCTTAGCAACTTAGCAAGAACTTGTTTCAAAATTAAAGAAAGAAACTTAAGAGAGTTTGGATGTATATCAGTGTGAAAGTATTGGTTTCAATCCCCAGTGAGGTGGCAGAGACACACCAAAACTGATGGTCTGCAGTACAGTAAATGTAGTGGTTAGAGACTAATTGTATCTGTAAATACCTACAGTAAGATAAAAGAAATGTATTAAATGTGATTGAATATATTTTAAGCACCCCAATACTTCATGTGTTGAAATTTAATCTCCATTGTGAAGTAGTAAGAGGGTGGAAAGTGAATCTACAATGGTGTTTAAAAGTGCCATCCTTGGAAAGTAATTTGGATTAGATAAAGTCATTACGCATGGAGACTTTGAAAGTGAATCTTGGTGGTTTCATAAGAAGAAGGAAAACAGAAAAGACACATATATACACATGTCTTGCTGCCTTTTGTCATGTAATGCTTTGTGCTGCTTCAAGACTCTGCCAGCACAGTCATCACTGGATGAGGATCCTAGATTTTGCACCTTTGGCACTGTAAACCAACATAAATGTCTTTTCTTTATAAAGTGGTGTGAAACAGATATTTCCTAATTGCAATCAAAAGTGAACTAATCCATACATCAATAACCTTACTTTAAATTTAAATAATTATAAAAAGAACAAAATAAACACAAAGCTAGCAGAAGGAAAGAATACTGAAAAATAAGATAGAGATAAGTAAAATAGAGAAGAGAATAAGAATAAAATAAATGAAACCAAAACTGATTCTTTGTAAAAATGAAAAATTAAAACTCATAACTAGTATGACAGAGAGAAAAAGAAGACATGGTAATTAAATTTCAAATGAAAAATGGGGAAATTACTCTTCATTTTGCAGCAATACAGATAATTAAAAGAAAACAATAACAACAATTGCATGTCAATGAATCATGTAACATACATAAAATGGACATATTCATAGAAATATACAGATTATCTTTAGTTCTATAAATTTTTGCTTCTGATATGCTGGAGATGTTGTTCAGTGAATATATATTATGATCATGTAGGGATATTTTATTGTCTCTGAGAAATGTTCTGCTTATTGCAGTGGTGTAACTTTTTACGTGGCAATTTCCTTAATCTGAAGGCTGCTTGTCTGATAGCAGTATAGCCAAGTTAGTGATTGCATGGCTTATCTTTACCCATTCTTTTACTTTTATTCTATTTATTCCACTATGTTTAAGATGGATTTCTTTTGGGCAGCATATAATTGGGTCTTTTCTTCCAATCAAACATCATGATGCATGTCTTTTCAGTGGTATATTTAGGCTATTTAAATTTAGTACAATGACTTGTGTATTAGAATAAAATCTATTATGCTCTAGTTTTTAATCTATTTCTTCATTTGTTCTTTTTTTGATACATGTTGTACTACATTATGATTACATTAATTGTGGGGAATTGGTATAGGTACATGACATTGCTCAATTATTTTTTAACCCCTTTCTCCTACCCTCGCTCTCTGTTCCTGCATTTCTTGAACTATATGAAATTTCCTCATAGGGACTTGGCGCATGTCCACAACTTCACTTGACAGCTTCAAAATTCCCCCACTTCAAATCTCAATTCCCTATTCTCCCTTGCCCTCCACCATCTCTAAGTTTCCTTCCTATATGCCAAAGTTCCATCTCATTATTTACTATTATCTATCTTTTACTTTTACCAGCGTTTTCTACCTCATTTTCAACTGAGTATTTTAGATTATTCAGTTTTAGTTCTACTGTGAATTTATGCTTTATACATCTTTCTTAAAAATTATTTATGGGTTCTCCTGAAGTTTACAACCACACACTTTATTAGCAGGACTGTATCTTCAATCCATTCTCCTGTTTAGTGCCCAGTGTAAGGATCTTGCAATTGTAATTTTTTCATCTGTTGTGAATTTTTTGTCATACATTTTACTTTTATATTCATAGAAACCTCAGTGTATTGTTAGTCCTTTTCTGTCAGTTTTCTTTTAGAAGAACCAAAGGAGGAAATTAATTTCTTAAAATAGAAACCCAACTTCATTTACTCTATTACAGATCTCATATTAAGTCTGGTGACATGTCAATTCCTCCTGAAATACTTTAACATCCTTGAAATATAAGGCTGGGGATAACAAATTCTTACAATTTCTTCCTGAAATTTTTTATTATAATCCCTCTATATAGAATTCTATGTACAGAATTGAATAATTTTATTTCAACAATTTAACAATGAATTGTTGTCTTCTAGCTTCTATGTCTTCTGACAAGAAATCTGCATCTAAGTTTCCCTATTCACACACTGGGAATTCAATGCAGTACCTTGTGCATACTACCAAAGGGTCTACCACTGAGCAACACCCATATCACTTTATTAAATTTTAGTTTGAGACACAATTTTACTGAGTTGCCTGAGATAGCATGGAACTTGCAATCCTCATCCCTAATCTTCTTTATCTTCTTATCTCCTTAACAGCTCTTCTCATCTCTTCTCTCCCAATGAAGTCAATGCAAAAAAAAAAAGATGTTAAAGTATATCAATTCATTTTTCTGCTCAAAATCTTTCAAGAGTTTCCCAATGCACTTGAAGTTCCTAGAACTGCCTATAAAACCCAAGTACTCTCTCCATATTCTTCTCATATTTAACTTCTGAGCTTTTCCTTTACACTTCACTCTGCTCAGCCATACCAATTGCCTCCAGGGCATTCGCCCTTGTTTTTCTCTTTCCTTGAAATGGTTACTCCTTCTTTGGATACTCCTATCAGATATACTATACTAGTTCCTTCTGATCCCTCAAGTCATAAAATACCACTGCCATCAGATCTATTACTTTACTTTTTTTCTCTTCTCCTTTCATTTGAAAAATCTTTATTTTAAAAACAAAAAAAGAACAAAAATGATACAGAATTTCAAAACAAAACAATAAGAGATTAAGAATGGTTAATAAGGTCCCTGCCATCCTGCCACCCACCATGGGACACAAGACCATCAGCAGTGCACAACGTTGGGCCCGTGGGTGCATCCCTTCCATGCCCCTGCCATCCTGGTGCCCACCACTGGAGACAGGGTCATCAGCGGTGTACAAGGCCAGGCCCTTGAGCCCAGCCCTTCTATGCCCCCACCATTCCACTGCTCACCACTGGACACAGACTCCAGTTGGCAAAGGGGCAAACCAAGCCAGCCTCTTCAGTGCCCCTGCTGTCACACTACTGCCTTCTGGGACCCCACCACCATCTGGACCTCGTATTGCTATTGATCTTCGGCTCCCACTCCTCGCCCCCTGAAACTTGGACTACAATGGATTAACCATGCTCAGTAACCCGTCATCTAAATAGAATACCTCAGCATGCTTGCATCAATGTGCTGAGTTTGCCCCTAAAATAGGAATACAGTTTGTCACCCTCAGTGGGTAAACAGGAGCAATAGCCAAGCACCCTGCAGAAGAAGAACACTGACAAGTTTGGCAAGCTTGCAGGTGAGTCCTTCCTCCACACAGAGAACATCAGCTAGGTTGAAGAGTGTGCCAATAATGCCTCCCCCAACCGGGAGAAAATTAAATGGGCTTATGAGACACCCAGTGACTCAGTGGGGTCCCAGATGAGACAAACAGTATGAACAGGGATATCTGGTAACTCAGAACAACCTGAAGACATAATAACATCAGGAATTAAGGGTTGAATTACATCAATACTCTTAGGCTTGCCAGCATAGGAAGAATAGAGGACTCACCCAACAGGCCCTCAGGAAGAATTCAGCTGACTGGCCCAGCTTTTCACTGTGGCACTCAGCAGTTGGACAAATATCAATCACACAGTAGGAACCTAAGATACACTACTGATAGGTGAGACAAGTGGGATTGAAAGACCAAATGTTAGCCTGACAGGGGAAAAATGACAAAATGAAAAAGCAAATCCAATCTCAAACATTTGTCCATCAAGAGCAAATAAAGGAGACATTGAAAAAGAGAACTTTAAAAGTCACACACCATAAATCTCTGAAAATATAGCAAATGAAATAAAAAGACAAATCCATGAGGCTATAGAGGAAATCAAATTAGAAGTAATGTCTCATGTAAATACAGAAATAATAACCTTAGTAAATGAGTTGCTCAGTGCAGCTAGAGAAGAAATAGATAAAAAGATTAGGAGCATGAGAAACAGATTGAAACTTGGATGAACAATATAGAAAACAAGCAGAATCCATGAAATAAACAAAAAGATGTCTAAGAAACAAAAAATGCTATTGAAAGCTGGCAAAACCATTTAGGATAGAATATTGGACCTTGAGGACAGGAACACAATTAGTGATCATGAAAGGCTAGAACTTTAAAAAAAATAGCATGAAATGACAATCAAGGAGCTTCAAGATGATTCCAAGAGAAACAATATAAGACTAATAGGCATCAGTGAAGATGCAGGAGTCAAGGCAAAAGACATAGGTAAACTATTCATAGAAGTAATAGCAGAAAATTTCCCAAACATGGGGAAAAATCTGATACACAGACAAGTGGGGCATATAGAATGCCAAACAGTCACAACCAACTTAAATCTACACCCAAATATGTAACAAATAAGATCCCAGACATGCAACATTAAAACAGAATACTATAAGATGTTAGAGAAAAGAATAAACTCAGCTACCAAGGAAAGCCCATTAGAATCATGGCAGACTTTTCAGCACAAACCCTCAAGTCAAGACAAGCTTAGAGTGAGGTGTTTCAAGCTCTAAAACAAAACAACTTTTAACCCAGATTGATGTACCCAGAAAAACTTGCTTTCAAATTTAATGGAAAAACAAGATACTTGCATGACAAAGGACAACTGAGGAAATTCATGTCCACCAAAGCAACCCTAGAAAGATAACTGAAAGACATACTAGACAGAGACAAAAATGACCACAATCTCCAGAACAACAACAGAAAGAAACCACCATGCAGGCCAAGCAATTAAATAAGGAAGGAAAAGCAGAAAAAAAACCAACTGGAACATAACATGGCAAAGATGAGCCAGTACATATCAGTTATATCCGTAAATGTAAATGGCCTCAATTCACCTATCAAAAGTAATAGGTTGACAAAATGCATCAAGAAACAGGATCCCACAATATGCTGTATACAAGAAAACATCTGACTGAAAGTAAATATAGATTAAAATTCAAAAGGTGGAAAACAGTATTCCATGCAACACAAACCCAGAAAAGAACACAGGTAACTATCTGTTTGCAGACAATGTGAACTTCGACCCTAAAATGATTAAAAGAGATAAGAAAGGTCACCACATACTTGTTAGTGGAAAAATTCAAGAGAAAGAACTAAGAATTTTAAATATACGTGCACCACATACAGGAGCACCCAACTATTTAAGATGAATACTAATAGACATAAAAAACCAAATACACAAGAGCACAATTATAACAGGGGACATTAATACACCATTGACACAAAGAGATTAATCAACTAGACAAAATGCCAGGCAAGAAATATAGAACTTAATCATACCTGTGAGCAAGTGGACTTAGTAGATGTTTACAAATTATTCCACTCAACCACATCAGAATACACATTCGTCTCAGCTGCACATAGAACATTCTCCAAAATAAACCATATTATACCCTATAAAATATGCTTAAGGAAAACGCAAAGGGATTGAAATTATCCCATGCATATTATCTGACCATAGTGCCCTGAAATTGGAACATGATGACAAAAGAAATTGCAAAACATGCATAGATACATGGAAATTAATAACAACTTTGTGAATAACCAGTGGGTTATGGATGAAATTAAACAAGAAATAAAACAGTACTTGTGATTCTTTGAAAATACAGAAACAACATACCATAATCTGTGGGATGCAATGGAAGTGGTCTTAAGATGGAAATATATACCAATAAATTTTCATATGAAGAAAACAGAACGAGCACAAATAAACAACCTAATGCTACATCTAAAGCTTCTAGAAAAAGAAGAGCAAGTTAAACCCAAAGCTCATAGAATAGAGGAAATTGTAAAGGTCAGAGCAGAAATTGATGCAATTGCAACTAAAAAATAATACAAAAAATTAATGAATCAAAAAGTTGTTTTTTGTGAGAGAAAAAAAAATACAAATTGATATACCTCTGGTTCATCTAATCTAGAAAAATAAAGAAAAAACCCACATTCATGCAATAAGGACTGAAAAGGGGGAAATTATGACAGATTCTATGGAAATTCAAACTATCATAAATACCTACTTAGAAAACCTCTACTCACATAGGGTGGAAAACACAGAGGAAATAAACAGACTTCTAGAAACATAAGAACTACCAAAGCTCAATCCAGAAGAGGCAATTTTGAACAACCCAATATCAGCTATTGAAATTGAAAATGTGATTAAACACTTATCACTAAAGAAAAGTCCAGATCCTGTTGGATTCTTGGCTGAATTCTACAAGAAATTTAGAGAAGATTTGATACCAACATTCCTTAAAATCTTCAATGAAATTGAAAGGGAAGCCATCCTCCCTAAATCATTCCTGGAGGCAAGTGTTACTCTGATACCAAAACTAGAGAAAGACCCAATCAAAAAGGAGATCTATAGGCTAATCTTATGAATGAACATTGATGCAAAGATTCTCAATAAAATACTGACAAATAGAATGCAACAAATCATCAAGAAGGTATATATCACGACCAAGTGGGATTCATTCCAGGCATGCAGGGATGGTTTAACATATACAAATCAATAAATGTAATACGACACACCAACAGAGCGAAAAACAAAAACCCCATGGTCATCTCAATAGATGCAGTAAAACTTTTGGTAAAGTCCAACACTTGTTCATGATAAAAACACTACATAAACTTGGAATACATGGTATCTACCTCAATCTCATGATAGCCATCTATGACAAATCAACAGCCAACATTATACTAAATGGACAAAAACTGAAAGCTTTTCACTCTAAAATCAAGAACAAAAAAAGGAGGTTCACTATCACCACTCTTATTCAATATACTTCTGGAAATATTAGCCAGAGCAATCAGACAAGAGAGAAATAAGAGAAATAAAGATATGAAAGGAAGAAGTTAAATTATCACTATTTTTAATTTTTGCCATTTTTCCTTACATCCTTAATCTGAAAATTAGTGTTAATCTGTTCTTAATTTATTTTATTTAGTATGTGGTAATTGACAGAAACCTAGTTTTATTTTTACCCAAAGGATAATGGCTTCTAAAATGATATGTTTATCAACTTTTCCTTTCTTCCATTTTTAGAGGCAAGAGTAAAGATGTTAATGCCTTTATGATAGCATTAATCCAGGAACATAGAAAAATCTAGCTCTCATTACTTGCTTCTTCCCTTAGGGTTGCTGACTAAGGAAATTGTAAAGAGTGACTCACTGAGAATCAAAGTACCACTTATTTAACAATTGAGCCCGATGTCTACTAACCACTGTTGCAAAATTCTGTTAACAGATGAACTGAACAGCAAAGAAAAAAAAAATTAAAAAATAAAGAAACAAGGGGCTGGGGATTTAGCTCAGTGGCATAAGTGCCTGCCTTGCAAGTGTGTGGTTGTGAGTTCGATCCCCGGTACCGATAAAAAAGAAAAAAGACAAAAAAACTAATAAAAAAAAGGCCTAAGAAAGGTTTCTTCTTTCCAGCCCCATGAATTAGGTAATGCAGGACCTGTCCTAATGCACATATCCTGCCCATCCAGTTACAGACACAAATCAACTCACAACATAGGAGTAAGCAAAGTAATAGGGAGTACTAAGATAAAAGAAATAATAACCCTGTCCACCGCTGGTATGACATTGTCCAGCAAATGTACTGGATTCTGACTAATGAAATTAATAACATTTCCCAGTTAGAGTCTAGTAAGAGATAAAAAGCAAAAGTATATAGCTAATAATGAATTATTCCCACTGCTAATGACAAAAGCAGAAGCTTGCTTTTCTTTCAGAGGTTTTTATTTTGTCCTACTTATTTTGTACAGTATCATGTTTCTTTAATTACTGTACCTTTACAATAATGTTGCACTATTAGGTTGTACTAGCCTTTTCTCATTAATCTTCTCTTTTTAAATCTTAGTTCCTCTTGGTTCTTTTTTTTTTTTTTTTACTAAATTGGTGGTTTATATAATCATTCAAAGCAGCCCAAAAATATGCAAATGTGATTTTGATTAAATAATTTTACCTTATAAACTAGAGTATATTACATTCTCTTAAATAATGATATAATTCAAAAGTTCATTTTCAGTTTAGTGTTACATAACTCTGCACCCTACTCACTGGTTGACCACACATGCAACTGTGATTTAAACTATGGTTTTTGTGGTTTCTGATGACTGTTAAATCTTTGTACCTATCCTAGGTATCTCTTCCAAGCACAAAGCATATTATCCCCAACTGAGTATAATCTGTTCTTATGGCTGTCTTATTATCATTAGCTTATATTACAGGTACCTCATACTCAAAACATTTAAAAATGTAATTAGTATCTCTCCTCATTAAAAGTCAAACAAACAAAAACCATTTTCTCCCTTCTACAATTTTTGTCTTTGTGAGTGGTACCAATATCCAGACACTTAAACCAAAATTTTGCCCATTATTCTTGGCTTCTCCATCACCATTATTCCCCAAATATGGCTCAATCAGCACATCCTACTGATTATACTTTAACGTTTTTCAATTCCATCGAATTCTTTATCCTCAAGTCTCATCTTTTCTTTAGACAGGGTTTCACTGTGTAGTTCACATTGCCTTTGAACTCACTCTATAATTCAGGCTGGCTCAAACTCTCAGCAGTTTACCTCAGCTTCTCTAGTGCTGGGGTTACAGGCATGTACCACCACTCTTGGTCTTCTCCTTTGTTAAAGACATTATCATCACTTGTTTAGATTACTATAACAACCCTCTGTTTTCCTTGCTTGTAATGCATCCCTTCTTTTCTTTCAGTCATTCACTGATGATTTTTGTAAGTTGTTCTCTATTTCCCACATGAATTCCTACCATTCTTCTGAGTGATTTTTACGTTACTGTGGATGATTCTTCCAGTACTCAACCTACCACTCACTTGACTTCCTCAACTCTAATGTCCTTCACTTCCACTTTATCATTTAACCATACCCCTGAAAGTACTTTAACTACATCTTAAAATTAAACCATTTTCACTATTCTCCCTCCCAAATCTCCCAATTACTCTTTGAAATTATCAAAATCACCCGTTTCTCCATTCAGTGGGAAAATCTCTATTCTTGCCATATTTACTAAAACAACTAAAATTGCTGATTGCTTCATAATTAAGATCTTTGAAACATCTTGTAAGTATCTGTGATACCATCATTTCTTGGTGTTTCTCCTATTGTCTTTCTCACTGTTTTCTCAGGCACCTGTTTCAATAAGTAACACATTCCTTAATATTGATGCTCCCACATCTATTCTTACAAAGCATAGAAACATATCATGGTCCTGATCTCTGGATCTTTATGTCTACCAGATACATGTATTTGGTCATATTACAGATAATTCACGTTCAACAAATTCGGAACTAAACCCATCATCAACAAATCCACTCGCCTATCTCAAGGCAGCTCTCTCTCATTTCCCCTATCTTAATGAAGAACATCAGTATTTATCCAGTTGTCCAAGTCAAAAATATGGGTATTATACAAGAATTTCCTATAATGTACAGGTGTTATTCAAGGATTCTTATTTTCTTTTACTTTCAATAAGTATTTCATCACAAATCTTATTTAGTTTACCTCACTAATCTTTCTAGAATCTGTCCTTTCCCCGCTAGTCTAATTTTTATCTCTACCTACTAGAGTTTAAAACTTTACATATTCTATACCTAGAACTATCTTTCCCTTATTTTTTCTTTCATCCTATCCTACCTTTGGTCATAGGTTTATCTCATACTTTAGCTCAGTGGTTTTTCAAAGTGTAGTACCTATTTCCCTTTTGGTATCACCCTGAAAGAATCAAAGGCATCATATTGCAGCAATAGATGCATACCCATGTTTATAGCAGTACAATATGCAAAAGCTAAATCTTGGAAACAGCTCAAATCCCCATCAAAGGATGAACATATAATGAAGTTGTGGGGTTTTCTTTAATACAATGGAGTACTACTCTGATATAACTCAGGAAAAACTTGAGATATTTCTAGGATAATGGATGCTGTTGATACTATACTCTTAAGTGCAATAAATAAGACAGAAATTTTAAAATATCTCACTTGTCTCTTTGGTGTGAGAAATCCAAAGGCAAAGAAGAACCAAAATGCATAATTCGACCTGGGATATAGCTCACTGGCACAGTGCTGGCTGGGCAAGCATGAGGTCCTAAGTTCAATTTCTGGCACAAAATGTCTTTTTAAAAAAAGAATACAGTTAAAATGTAAATAGCTGGGTGTGGTAGCACACACCTGAAATCTCAGCATTCCGGAGGCTAAAGCAGGAGAGTAGTTGGGAGTCTGAGACCATCCTGGACTATAAAATGAATTCAAGGCCAGCCTGAACAGCACAGCGAGAACCTAACTCAAAAAGACCAAAAAAAATGTATAATAGATATTGGGAAGTAGGAAGAAAATGTTCAAAGGGGGAAGGAAACAAGGGAGGAAAGAGAGGAGAAGGGGAAAAAAGAGACGCTAGAAAGAAAAAGATGGAAGCAAAGATTTTTTTTTAAATAAGGAGGGGAAGGGGGGTTGAGTGGAGGGTAGGGAGTTGGGAGAAAAAGAAGAATCAAGATGTATCAAGCACAGGTATAAATTTCTTATGATAAATGTTATGGTTTGTGTCTGGATGTCTTCCCAAAGCCTCATGCAGTTATGGAAGTGAACTTTCAGAGGAGGCTGAATCGAGGGTCAGTGACTGGTCCCATTATATTGGTATTGAGGGTGTGAATGTTACACCCACCAGAGGATAGGTAACCTGCATATCATCCAAGAAAAATAAAGAGGCTTACTACGTTTGCCCTTTTGCTCTTAGTGCTTTTACTGTCTTCTGCCGCTATAAACTGTTGCCCCTCTTCCATGCTAACTTGCCTTGAGGCCAGCAGATTATGGACCAAAACAACCACAAACTTTGAGCTAAATAAACCTTTCTTTAATTTGAGCATCAGATATTTTGTCTCAGCAACAAGAAAAGTAACCAAGACAATGAATGCAAATATTATGTACATCTAAAGTGTACCAATAAATTTAAATTTTTAAAAAAGTGTAGCACCTGAACTAGAATTATGAGTATCACTTGGAAATCTGCTTAACGTAGCAAACTCCTAAGTCCTATCACAGCCACACTGAATCAAAGATTTTTTTTTGAGATTGAGCCTGGAAATCTATGTTTTAACAAGCATATGATTTTTGAAGCATGACAATATTTGAAAATTGCTGATTTAAGTCTCAACTAAGTCATCACACACTCTGGAAAACTATTCTTAACCACACAAACATTAGACTAGGTACCCAATGTTCAATCTATCACTTTGTAAAACTTCTCTTTAACCTTCATTATACTGCATTATACTTATCATCTCACTTGCATGTATCATAACAGTCCAAGTTTTCTAATGGTAGAAACAAATACTACTAGCTACTGTATTCACACTTAGTTGTTCTTATCACCCACTGATCTCACTTCACTCAAAGAATGCATTAATGGAAAATAATGTGGTGAAAATTGTGGTCATTCTACAATCAATATTAGGATTTTAGTGTTTGACTGGGGTTGCAATTTAATCTGTAGTAAGATGACAAGAAACTTAGTTATAACTAGTGTTAAATACTAATCTGTAGTCTGGGCCAGGACACACTCTGTCCAAGATCAATTCAGACTGAGCAAAGCATATACTTTTAGGGATTTAAAATAGGGATATTAGCCAATACTAAGTCATGGCCTATTTGGGGATTAGCTTTCATACAAATTTAGCATGTGGCTTTGTCTTGACTAATATTACTGTTTCAGATATTTAAGAGCTTTTTTTAAATTGTGTTTTGTTTTTTGTACTGCTGAAATTTTAACTAAGGGCTCTAAACACTCAAAGTACATATTTTACCACTATGTAATACCAGTCTTTTTTTCTTTATTGTTTTTCTTTGGTTTGGTTTGTTTTGTTTTGCCTTCGTTGGAAGTTGAACCCAGGGCCTTGTACATGCTAAATGAATATTACCTCTGACCTTTATCTGCAACACCCAAAAGTGTAATTTTTTAAAACAGCAAGACAAAAGATTCGAGTAAGGGCACTGTGTATCCTTTACCTCTTCACTAAGTGTACCCACTCACCAGGTTCAGCAGCCCGTGGCCAGCCAGTGCTAGATTCTAGAACTCCATGGGCATGCACAGAGAAGGGATGGCTTGCATTATTCTTGAACACCACAGTGAGGATATCACCAACTTCCCCTCTGATAAGGGGACCTGATATATGTAAAACAAAAGGGTCATTAGTTGAGGAATGAAACTAGGGACATTAAAGAAAGGAACATACCTTGGAGATTCACTGAATTAAAATTTTCCTGAGAAAGTATCCTTTTGAGATAAAATTAAAGCTTATTCCACATTGAGATTGAAAAATCCTTAAACTGATACTGTTACAGCATAAGAATCTTTCTTTCCTTTTCTTTCTTTCTTCCCTTCCTACTTTCCTTGTTTCAAGACAAGGCCATGCCATCTAGTTCAGGCTGAACTCATGATGTAGCACAGGCTGGCCTTGAATTTGCAACAGTTCTCCTGCTTCAGCCTCCCAAATGCTGATATTACAAGCATATGACACCATACTCAATGGTAATATTTCAACAACAGACTTATGCCTCTAATTGCCCCTACATTCAACTCTCTCTGTAACAGCTATAGGATCTAGAACACCAGAGCTCTGTGGAATCATTGAAGATAATGAGTGAGATTTTGCCACAGAATAAAGAATAGCTGTGGTCTCTTCAGACAGAGGTCAGTAGACCCCTTCTGTGACAAGTTGACATGAAGAAATCCACTGGACACACAAAAAAGGTTAAAAAAAGAGATACAGGAGTAATATTGATTTCTTATATTATCATTTCCACTTTTTGATGTTTCTAAATTCTCCTGCCTATAGAACATTTTTAAAATCTACTACCCTGGCCTGCCTATGGGTTGTCCCTGAGGAGATGATGGAAGAAGGAGAAGGAGATTGGAGTGGGTACACAGATTTCTTCACTAGGCCAGGCCTGCCTAAGAGAACTCTATACCTCAAAAAAGTAGATACTTTGGAAAACCTTCATAGAGAGAAAATAATTCATATTTTTTCTTTTCCTTTCAGTAATTATTTTCATTATTCTTTTAGGAAATATAACCATACTTCTAACATATCATAAGAAAAATTGAGAATAGATTGTAGAGAATTTACAATCCCTGATATGATATAGCTGTCCAAGAAGCACACATCATTCTTGTAGACACTAGGTTTAAAGTTGAATTTCCTTACCTAAGATTCCCAAATGTTCTTCTGCTCCAGACCTTGGGAGAGGAATCTTGAAAGTACCATCAGTGTATTCCCTGAATACAGCTTTCTTGTATCTAGAACCTAGGAGTCCATCCTTGTTGCTCAGGAAAATGTGACCATAACTAGAGAAACCCAAAGATTGTTATCAGCACTTGGCTTTCAGTCCTTCATTTTAAGATATAAAGCATCTTAGTCATGATTATTTTCACATCACAGAAGAAAGAAGACATGGATCTCTATTTCCTAATGTTAGATTGCTTCCTCCAACCAAAATGATTCTACAACAGTAATGAATATTCTACTTTAGAATAGAATAGATCTCAAAATCTGTTCATGTTTCTTGTTTTCCCCTGTCCAGATAGAAATTTATAATTCAATTAATATGACAAAAGCACTGGCTAAGAAGGCTTGGGCTCTGTCTTCACACTTAAGGAGGCCTTAGGTGGAATTAGTTTGGCAAAAGGACAAGGTAGGTGCAAAGTGGCAAGAGAATGTTAGTTGCTACTGCTGTTGCTACTACTGGATGTAATAGGCAGGAAGAGACAGGAAAGAAATGATATTTTGCCTGTTTCTTTGTGGGATGTTTACTAGTTTACAAAAAGCTTTCATATTTATTTTAACATTTGGCATTCTCAACAGGCATGAGAGTTAGGTGAATTCAGAGGTGCAGTCACTTGACAAGAGGTGACAGTGTTTACTTACAGAGACACATTCAGTCAGAAAGCAAACAGAGGGACTGAAATTAGATTCAAGTCTACTGCACTTTCCTCCTCCATCTACAGTCATGTTGCTTCAGTATATCATAGATGAGTAAACCAAGGCTCATACAAGGGAATTTGCTTTTTCTGACTCCCAGAAAAGTTAGCAAGTTGACTTTAATGAGAACCCGTATATGAACTGGTTCTCCAAAAGTGTGATTTTTCATCTCCTGAAGCCTTACCTTTCCTCTTCAGATTGGTTATGCCATTCCAGTTCCCAGCTCCTATCAGGGCAATAATCCCACTCGATCTCTTCTGCCATAAGGTAATAGACTCTTGAAGCTTGGTAGCGTTGGTGAGAGTTACCTTGCTGGCGAGAACACTGAGAGACATTATAGATTGCCCTCATTCCTGCTTCTCGGTGGCTCCCTGCTTGGCAGTAAATTTCAAATATCCCTAAACAAAGATTAGAGAACAAAATTTGATTCAGAATAACCTTGGAAGTAGTATGGAGAATTTTTTGTCTCTCTCTAGCCTTTCTGTAAATAAAAGACAATCTAGGGTATGACTCTTCAGTGTACCAACAAAAAGTACGTTACAAGTTAATTGAGGGTAATGAACTAAAAGGTTAAGAGCTGTAGCTCCAAAGCTACACCATCTGGGTAAAAAACTAGTAAGACATTAAAATCAAGTGCTTCCTGTTTTTCATGAGCTTTCCTAATTTTAATACTGAAAGTCCCATATCCCTGGATATCTCTTAGTTTGGGGCAAACTGGAATGGTTGTTAATTCTCACTTATTAACTACACAATTTTCTAAATCTCTAAATATTTCAGTTGCCTCACCATTAAAAAATGAGGACTGTTTTGCTTATGTCACGTGGTTGCTTACCATTAAATACAATCATATATGTATAAACTTTAGCATATATAGTATAGATTAAATGTTCAATAAGAGAAGCTATAAGTAAACACAAATTAAGATTTATTATTCCAAGTAAAGCATTTGCCAGTTATTCCCTTTCTCTAACAAGTACCAAGGAAATAAAAGTGGGTTTAAACTGTCATATTTTTAAAAAGAAACTTCTTGATTTAAGAAATGCCTACATAAGACAGCTTTGGAAACACTTTTCATAGGTTTTTTTTTTTTGATAGAAATATCAGCTATCAATCTTGAATGTCTGTACTGTGATTTCACCTGGACTTGATCTCAGCTTCCAGATTTCTATATTAGAGACACTCAGGCCCAGTAATATTGATCAAAAGCAGATAACTTTCTTAGAACATTATTCTCACTATTCCCTTACCTTGCTGCCCAATGTCTACCCCATTATTACAAACTCTTCTTTCTGGATTTTAAAATCTAGGAGCTGGTCCCTGACTTTTCATTTGGTCCTAGCTCTTCCTTCAAAGTTAACCTCCTTAGCCTGTCATCAGCATCTGTTATCTAGAAACTTGTAACAGCCTCCCAACTGTCCTCTCTGCTTTTTCACCTGCCCTCTTCAATCATTATCCACAACAGTGTCCAGAGTGCTCTTTAATAAACATAAATCACAGCACATTGCATGTTTGTCTTAAACAGCCCACTCTGACTCAGAATAAAACCCAAACTGCCATGAGGCAGTTCTTGTAAGACCATAAATAATATGAATCTTATCAACTGTTATGATGTATCTTCTAAGTATTCCTCTAGCTCACCACATTACAACCATTTTGGCTTGCTTTCTGGTGCCTCACTGTCCTAGTCTTAACAGACTAAATTGTGTAATAACGATGTGTTAATTAAATTAATGTGGGTGCAAAGAAGATTGCTAAGCTACTTCTCTTTTTTGTACTTTTATATCCTTATGCTCTGAGTTTCTTCACACCTTGTTGACCAATATTCTTCTTTTTCTTGCGGCTTTATAATTTTCTCCTATATCTTAAATGATGTTTTCTGAACTAAATGTTTTTCCTAATACTCTCTATATATTTGGAATTGAATTATGAGAATATCTAGATTCACAGTGCAGGATTCTCTTTTAGGATTTAAATTTCTACCAATAGTCACCTAATGTGAAATTCTCACCAACTGGATTTCACCAGGAACTGAAAGTTAATATGCTTCAAAAGAAATGTTTTACCTAAAACTTACCATTTTTAAACCCAACTTTACTTCTCCATTTATTCATCTAACTAATGATGCAATAATCCACACAAGCTAGACTAATTTCTTCTTATTTAAACCCTCAGCAAAGTCTTGTCATTTCTCCCTCTAATACCCTTTAAATCTGACCTTCTCTCTATCTCCAGTATCCTTACATATTAGCAAGTTCTGATCAACTCTTTCAAGAGCCTTCTGCTGTGCCTCACTGTCTCTGGTTCCTTCTGATTCAGAGCCATTGTCCATAGTATTCTATAGTAAAGTTATATAAATAAAATCACATGCTACCACTCATCATTTGATAAATGAAACAAAACTTGAGATATTTTTCCATAACCTATAAGATAAAGTCATAGCTCCTTAGCAAAAAAATCTCTCTATCTCTTTCTAACTAGGTCCTTATCATTTCCTATATCCCTGAAGCCCTGCATTTTATTGTTCTTCAATAAGGGAGCTGTTAACATTTTGAGTGAGATTACTTATTATATGGAGACTGTCCATTACAATGCATAAAGCTTTTCCCCAACACAGTTAAATATTTTTATTAGCATGTATAAATAATGCCTATTAATAAGGTTCTATGTTAAATTTTATTTTTTATTATTTAAAAAGAAAGAAAAAATGGAGAAAAAAGGATAGAAATAATACAGAATTACAGAAAACTAAACAAATTTTTATGATTTAAAGAGAAACAAAAAATGGAGAAAAAAAGTTAGAAATAATACAGAATTACAGAAAACTAAACAATAAAAAATCACTAGTTGAAAAGTTACATATTGTCATCCTAGAAATAGTTGTTCAGGTTACAAAATTAAAACATATAAAGTGACATTCAAATAGTGACACTGCAACAGTTCTGCACAATGATCCAACAAAAACTTAGTAATATGGTTAACAGTCCTACACACTTGCTTTTTATCTTAAAGAGGGTAAGATTAAACATGTTATCATGGTTTATGTGTGTGTCCTCCAGGCCTCATGAGTTTGCATTGTTCATTTGTGATGGTTCATTGTATAGTGCTTGGATTGATGGTGTCAGTGCTCCACCCACACAGGGGTGGAGCCAGGTTGTGATGTAATGGCAGGAAGAAGGTGTGTCTTGCTCTTTGCTAGTTCCTGTTTGCTGTTTGTAGCCTCCATGAAAGGCAGTCCAGCCATGCCTGCCTGCCTGGGAACCAACTGAATGTGGATTGAAACCTCCAAAAACTGTAAGAAATAAACCTTTCTTTTCCCAAATTGGGCATCAGGTATTTTGTCTCAGCGACGAGCATAAAGTAACTAAGACACATATCAAAACAGAACAAAACAGTTCATAAAGAAACAATTTAAAGAAATACAGATTTCAAAGCAAGTACCCTGGAGATTTTCACTATTTTGTGTCTTTAGTTTTCTTCCAAATAGTTGTTCCCATCTTCACACATACTGAATACATACTGCATATTATAGAATAAATCAAATCATTACAGGATGATGAAGGCTTTCTAGGTCTTCAAGATCTGACACTGGGGAAGTCAATAATGACTACCATATTGTCTCTCATTCTCTTCATAGTAGCTATCCTTATCTTTACGTATGCTGAAATTGAATTTAAGAGACTAGACTAATATCACTCTGAATAGTGAACAATAGTATTGCTAGATTTTATATCATAATGTTACAGAATTAGTATTGGGTATCTTAGTGAATCTTCTTCAGAGTATCTGTTCATTACATCTTGCATTATATAATCTGTTCCTGTAAATAGTTTAAAAATTCTTCCCATGTGTGAATTTCTACATATATATCTATTCTCTATGTGTTATAGGGAAAAACAGATCATAACAAGATAACAAAACAAATTCCTAGAAAAACATGCAATGAAAAAGACACATAAGACCACAATATTATGTGATCTACTGTAGTTACTATGCTTTTGCTTGTTATTTTCAATAGACTTGTCCACATCATCAGGCTTAATATAGTTAAGCATAGTATTACATAGCTATTTTTATAAAAGTGTAACTTTGAAAACATTGTAGGACTTGAGAGCGGTTAATAACCAAAACCAGTAGGGATATCTTTTACATCTTGTCATCTTCAGAGTAGTTGCCTCTATTTTAAGACTTGATATTATCAAGCATACCAAATTCAAATAAAATTAGCCAAGGCAAAACCACAGTCTAACAAACCAGATTCAAATAAGATCCATCATACTAAGACAATGTAAGTAATACAGGGTTTCAGTTTAAGTTAATAGGAAATTAAGGTTAGTTACCATGGTATAACCTGCTATTTTTGGGATAGATGTCTGTGCCCTCAAATCTGATATGGGTGGACAGACCAGAACAAAATAAAATCAAACTAAACGGAGTGATAAGACTATTGTGACTTTTAAATGCTGATACACTATTAACAGTGACCTCTGCCTTACTTTTTTAGGCTATTTTTCACCTTTCCCCTTCTCAGGATGTTTTGTATGTTTCACTAGCTCCTTTAGTTTTTAGATCTCACTAGCCCCTTTAGTTTTTAGATTAGGGGGCCACCTGTTTTCTATCTGAGTGTTTCTGAACCTTTCTACCCCTGAGCTTGATCTTGAGCAGTACTCCTTTACTCACTAAAGTCATAGGGTTTTCCTCCCTTCCAGCTGTGTAGTTATACACTGCCCAAAAGTGTCATAGCTTTCCAATCTATCTGCAGCTGCTGGATGAGTTGTCCCTATTTCTCTCTGGTTTCTTGTCACATACAGCTTTGCTTTCTCATCTTTGACTTTCAGTTTATTAACCCTCCTTCAGGTTGAGTGTATTTCCCATTTAGAGTATCTCAATGGAGCCTGCCTCCTAATCTACTCTGCATGTTTTTTTTTTATTTTAGTGTATCAAGGCTATCTATATTAAAGATTATAGCTTACTGTCTCTGCCTCATGTCTGCGACTCCACTTTACTGCTATAATTTGTCCACCTTACTCCCTCATTCCACTGTCTGCCCTGTTCATTGAGGCCTCTCTGCCACTGTTGCTGGAATCCTGGTATCCCTTCTTCTCTCTCTCCGGAAAGTCCTTCAGCATTCTGTGTAGGGTTGGGTTGGTGGCCATGAACTCCCACAGTTCCTCCTTGTCTTGGAAACATCATATTTCTCCATTAATTTTGAGAGAAAGTTTTTCTGGGTACATAAGTCTTGGTTGCAAATTATTTTCTTTCATGGCTTGGAATATTTCCCCCTAGGCTCTTCTCGATTTGAGAGTTTGTGTTGATAAGTCTGTTGCTGTTTTGATAACTTTTCCATTGTAGGTAATCTGCTTCTTTTCACTGGATGCTTTTAGTATTCTGTTCTTTTGGT